TTTAAGTTTTGAATATTCATTTACTTGAATTGCATCTTTTCTGTTTGAAAGTAACCACATTATTTCCTTAATTGATTGAACACCTACCTGTCTTTTAACCTCAATTTCACCTGAAAAAGTCCTCTTGATATGTGACTTACTGTATATTTGCAAAGGAGATTGAGAATATTTGCAAGCCTATGGTAGAGTGTGGAAAAAATGATGATTTTGAGAGCAAACACTAAGCCTAAACACTACTGAGTGATAAGGGAAACACTACTTGTGAGCTGTGAATCATGTTTTTTAACTTTGCCCACATGAAACTTTGCTGAATTAATTGAACTTAGATGACAAGTTTTGTTGATTATGTGATTAATTCAGTGTGATTGTCATGATGATTGAAAACGAGAAATCAGAAACATAGAACTGAAAAATAGAAAATTTTTGAAAAAAAGTAATTTTGTTGCTTAATTTCAATTAGTGGATTAATTTTTTCCCTTTATATGATTTGATTTGCTTGATGACAAGCAAAATTCTAAGTTTGGAGTGGTGATAAATCCACATTTTACCATAATTTTAATATAATTTTGTTAATAAATAAGTAGTAAAGTGCTAAGCAAACTTGAAAATATCATAAAAATTGCATTAATATTCATAATTGTGTAAATAGTTTTGATTTTTTAGATTTTTAGTCCAATTCTGAACAATTTGACTTAAAAGTGACTTAATCTTGTGCCGAAGCTTGAGCTGAGAAATTGAGTTGAAGATTGAAGTGAAAAAAGTAGAGGAATTGAACCTAAAAGATGAAGAATCAAGTGTTATATGAAGGGTATAATCACTCTGAGTACATAGAGTGAACACTTTGAAGAAGAAAATTCATGAGGATCAAGAGAGTAGCTACTTCAAGTGTTCAAAGTAGCTACGCAATTGAGCGCATAGCCACTCCAAGCGTTTAGAGTAGCTATGCATAAGGCTAATTCAGAACTGCACAGTGCGTGTAGCTACTTCAAGTGATCAGAGTAGCTACGCAATTGAGCGCGTAGCTACTTCAAGTGCCCAGAGTAGCTACGCAAAAATAACAAAATTTTAAATATCACTTCTAAGTGTCAACTTTGGACGAATTGAGTTCTTAATTCAATTTTAGAAGCTTCTAGAAGACCTTTGATGCTAGAATTCTCAGAGATTAACATGTAAAAAAGCAAAAGGCAGGAAAAAAACCATATAAATAGAAGTTAAAGGTTCAAAAAAAGGGACTTTTGGTTCATTTTGTTATTTATCACTTTGTAATTGTTTTAACTTCCAAGGGAAGTCAAAGAAAGAGATTGGGAGCGACTTTCAAGCATCATTTCTAGAGGAATCAGGTTGAAGATTGGGTCTTGGAAGATGTTCTTCTGCTTCTTGTCTTCTTCTTCTCTTACTTCTCCTTCTTCCATTGTAATGTTGTTCTAAACCTTTTTGGTTAGGATCAATGAGGCAAGGAATTGTCCTTTGGTTAAAGAAGTGAAATTGATTATCAATCAATTAAAATTCTCAAGAATTCAGAACATGATTACATTGCAATTGAAAATCTAGTGAAGTGATTCCTAACTATTTTTCACATAGTATTCTTAATACAAATTTCGTATTATGTTTTTACAGCAATTCCATTACCTTTTATTGTTCTTGTTTCTTATTTTTACATGTTATAAACCTCTCAATGAATTGTTTTGTTCAACTAATTGTTGAATTGTGAAGTGGTAATTGAAATAAGATCCTTGTGGATGATATTTGGGGCTCATATTAAATTATAAATTTTATTACTTGTTACAACTACCTAGTACACTTAGTAGTTAGTATCTCTATCAAATTTTGAGTAACAAGTTTTTGCCGCCGTTGTCGTGGATCTTTATTTTCAACATCATTAGTAGCAAGGAGACAACTAGATTAAGCTATTTGTTCTCTGTTTTCTTTTTGAAAATTTTATTTTTATACATTGAATTTTGTATTACATTTTCTGCTAGTTTTCTTATATACCTCTTTGTCCAATTTTGTATAAATTCTGTGCTACTGTATTTTGTGTAGTTAATGTTTGGATGTTTTCTTTCTTTCTTAATTCTTCATAGGATATTTTGCTAGTACATTTTCTACACTATATTGTTCTGTATTTTCATCATTTTCTTTTAGTGTTTCTGTTGTGTTCAGTTTTCTTAGTGTTATATGCATGGGAAAAATAAAAACAAAAATGCTCTTGTATTTGATCCAAACATAGACAGAACATTGAGGAGCCTGAGAAACGAATTAAGAGCAGAAAATTCAGCAAGGAAAGAGCAAGAAGTGGAATCTACACCTTCTACTCCTAAATCGGAAGAACTTCAAATTCCTTCTCCTATACCACCAACACCTCAAGAGAAGATAATGGCTGAACAAAACATGATGAGAACTTTAGAGCATTATGCAGTGCCTAACATGCATGGATACAACTCCTCTATAGTCAGACCTACCATACAAGCCAACCATTTTGAAATAAAACCAGCTTTACTTCATTTAGTTCAGCAAGATCAATTTTTTGGTTCAATTTCGGATGATCCTAACTTACACATCTCTAACTTTGTGCAGCTTTGTGATACAATAAGGATGAATGGAGTTAGCGAGGATGCAATTAGATTGAGACTATTTTCATTTTCATTAAGAGATAAAGCTAAAAGTTAGCCGCAAGCTCAACCACAAGGAAGCATACCACTTGGGCAGACCTTGTTAATAAATTTCTTACTAAGTATTTTTCACCATCTAAAGTTGACAAACTAAGAGGAGAAATTACATCATTCATGCAGCAAGAAGGGGAATCTTTATATGAAGCTTGGGAGAGGTATAAAGAATTATTGAGGAAATGTCCACACCATTGCATACCGGAATGGATACAGCTAGAAACTTTTCTATAATGGAATGAGTCCAGCCACTAGAACCATGATTGATGCAGCTACATGAGGATCATTGAATACGAAATCGTTGGAAGAAGCTCAACGAATTATAGAGATGATAGCTTCATCTATGTATCAAAATTCTAATTCTAGACACTCTACAAGGAGTGGAGGATATGAAGCCAAAATTCTTGAGACTTTTCTTACACAAAACCAGCTACAAAGTCAAATGTTTTCAGAACAAATTGTTGCACTAACTCAACAAATAAACAATTTACAGGATGCTCCAATTCAGAATACTCAACTTGTGATTTTTGTAGAGGAATTTTCATCAATGAAAATTGAGTTTGTTTCTCATATCTGAATCATATGCCTAGGTTATTGAGATCTTAGGAATAAGTATCATAATCTAGTAATCCTATAATTTCCAGAACTTAATGCAGTATTTGATTAAATTTCACCAAAGGAATTAGGGACGTTTAATTAGGTATTAGAATCAGTGAGGCAAGGAATTGTTCTTTGGTTAAAGAAGTGAAATTGATTATCAATCAATTAAAATTCTCAAGAGTTCAGAACATGATTACATTGCAATTGAAAATCTGGTGAAGTGATTCCTAACTATTTTTCACATAGTATTCTTAATACAAATTTCGTATTCTAATTTTACAGCAATTCCATTACCTTTTATTGTTCTTATTTCTTATTTTTACATGTTATAAACCTCTCAATGAATTGTTTTGTTCAACTAATTGTTGAATTGTGAAGTGGTAATTGAAATAAGATCTTTGTGGACGATACTTGGGGCTCATATTGAATTTCAAATTTTATTACTTGCTACAACTACCTAGTACACTTGTTAGTTAGTACCTCTATCAAACTTTGAGTAACACCATCATCCTTCTATCGAACCATTTCTTACAAATATTGATCTTCTTGTTGTGCAATTTGAACTTGAGTCAAGAAGTCTTCGTTGATCTTTAGAGTTCCAAGGTACGGGCTTTTGGGTTGCACTTCTATTGCTAAATTTAAGTCTCAAAATTCTTCAATCAACCCCCACTCTTTCACCATCATGGCTGAAATATGCAAAGACTTCCTACTTAAAGCATCCTCAACTACATTCGCTTTCCTAAAATGGTAGGATAACATGAAGTCGTAATCCTTCATGAATTCCATCTACCTCCTTTGTCGTATATTTAGTTCTTTCTGGTCAAATAAGTATTTTAGACTCTTGTAGTCGCTGAAGACTTCGAATCTCGTTCCAAGTTGTGTGTAAGATAGTTGACTTCATGAGGTCACAATTGTCTAGAAGCATAAGCAACTACTTTTCCAGTTTGCATTAGAACACATCACAGTCTTTGTCTTGAAGCATCATAATAAACCTTAAATTTCTACTCTGGATCAGGCAAAATTAAAATAGGTGCAAATGTCAGCTTTTTTTTTAAGTTTCTGGAAGCTCGTTTCACAATCTTCATTCCAATTGAAATCCTTTCCTTTCTAAGTCAACTTCGTCAAGGGTAATCCTATCTTAAAAAAAACTTCAACAAATTTTCTGTAGTAACTAGTTAATCCTAAGAAACTTCGAACTTCTGTCAAAGTTGTAAGTTTTGACCATTAAGTTACTACTTCAACCTTTGCTGGATCTACTATGATTTCCTCCTTTGACACCATGTGTCTCAAAAATTATATCTGCGATAGCCAAAAATCACACTATGAGAACTTTGCATACAATTGCCTTTCACTTAAAATTTACAGGATAATCCTCAAGTGTTCAACATGCTCTTCATGGCTCTTTGAATATATTAAGATATCGTCTATGAATACCACCACAAATTGGTCTAGATATTGATGGAAGATTTGATTCATATAATCCATGAATACTGCCAGAGCATTAGTCACACCAAAAGGCATAACTTAGTACTTGTAGTGGTCGTAACGAGTTTTGAGCGTTGTCTTAGGAATATATTCATTCTTTACCCGAATCTAATGATAGCTCGATCGCAAGTCAATTTTTAAAAACATTGACGCTCCTCACAATTGATCCATCAGATCATCTATTCTGGGAAGGGGATACTTACTCTTGACTGTCACTTTATTTAATTGGCGGTTCAAAAGCACAGGCGCTCTCTAAGGTGATACACTAGGTCTCACAAATTGTTTCTGCAATGAATCTTCCACTTGCTTTTTCACCTCAACTAATTCAACTGGTGACATCCTATAAGGTGCAATAGAGATTGGACTGGCTTTGAGAGTAAGGTCAATAGTAAACTTAATCTCTCTCTTTAGCAGCAATTCAGTTATATCTTTCGGAAAAACTTCTAAAAATCCATTCACTACCGGTATTTGTTCAACCTCCACACTCTTCTTTACCTCTGAAGAGAACAATACCATGAAGGCCTTAGCATTGATCATGTTTCTTGAGTCACCCTTACTTAGGAATTTAGAATTTTCTTGCATACCAGTATCGAAAATTAGTGTCTTCTCTTTACAATTAAGAAGGACGTGATTCGATGACAACCAATCTATTTCCAATACAATATCAAGCTGAGAAAAGGGTAGACAAATCAAATCTACTATCAAATTCCTACCATGGATTATTACTGGACAACCTAAACATATGTGTGAAGTTTGATAAATCCACATTTTATTGAATTTTTTCTTACCTTTTTATTGTTTTTTAATAGAAAAAAATAGACTTAAAAAGTGTAAATATCATGAAAATCTCATTTAGGTCAAATCCTATAAGTTTCTTAATTTTTAATTAATTTACACTAATTTACACAGATATATTTTACAATTTTGATTATTTGAATAAGTGTGCAGGAATTTCTAGATTCATTCTATGGATTTTTAGCTTTTGAGAAAATTTGAGGTGAAAGTAACTACTTTCAGATGTTATAAGCCAAATTCAAGGGGCAGGCCAACGTAATTACTATCACATGCAATAGTGGACACTACAGAGAGCCAAAAATGCTTTAGACCTGCGCTTGTCTACTATAGTAAATGATAGTAGACACTACAAAGACTTCCAGATGATGCAGAGTTACGCGTGGCTACAATTTAATTTTCTGATTAAGTAATTAGCACTTGGAACTACAAAACCCCTCTTTTTACTTGCTTTCTGAGTTATTGTTTACAATATGTTTGATGTATATTTTCAACCAATGTCATTGGAGACAACCTAGGCTTGCATCCTAAACTATATTAATTTTTCTGCATATTTGGATGAGGGTTAGCAACAAACTCTTTGTGTGTCATCAAAGTTACAACAAGCTTATTCGTAAGAGTAAATACTATAATGTTACATGGTAGAGAAGATACAAGCAATTCAAGACAACGTACATGACCCAAAGAAATAAAGAAATGTGTAGCACCAGAGTCAAATAGAACATTGATAAGTTTGTCTTTCATGCTGCATTTACCTCTAATAAGATCATCCAACTTTGATGCCTCAAACCCATTCATAGCAAACACCTTGCTCTGGACATTGGGTTTTCATCCGTCGCTGCCCTAGATGTAGGCCTATTGCTTCCATTTATGCTTCCACTCCTCTATGGTATGTGCCAGTAAACATTCGTCGTATGTCTCATTCTTTTGCAATAATCACACTTCGTAGGTGGTTTCGGGCAATCTTGCACTCTATGAGGTCATTTGCACCAAATGCATTTTATTGGGCCTCAGGGAAAATTGGGGTTGCTGCTATTGTTACCCCTATGAGGTATGGTTCTACTAGCCTGAGACTAATTTGCACTTGCATATGGTCTTCCTTGAAACCTTGGAGGTCTTCGATCTTGCCTTACCGGTCCTCTAATTCTGGTGTCTAGCGACGTCCCTTTGGAGTTAGTTTCAAAGATTCGACATTTGCTCACTAACGTTGGCAGGTCCGTCAGTTGGAACACGCTAAACGCTGTAGGTATACTGGCTCTGAGCCCATTCTTGAATTGGCACACAAATCTTTATCATCGCCCTTGTGCTGAAAGTAAGGCTAATACTTCATCAGCTCACAGAATTTTGCAGCATATTCTCTCATGAACATGTTCCCTTGCTTTAGCTCTAGAAACTCCTTGGCCTTCTGCTTTTTTAGATCTCTAGGAAAGTAGTTTCCATAAAAGCTTGTCTTAAACGTCTCCCAAGAGATAGATCCATCTTCATGTGGCAAGGTCTGACTTGCAAACCTCCACCAATCTTCTGCTTCTTCGAACAACACATGTGACATAAACCACTTTATGTTCTTCGTGACAGCCAATTGTGTTGAAGATCTTCTCTATGTCAATTATCCACCTTTGGGCTCTCTCTGGGTCAAACTTTTCTTTAAATTTTGAGGATTGTGTTTTGTGAATGATGACAACCCACGGTACTCAGCTGGTTCACCGTCCTAATTGTGTACCAGAGTCTGTAGGACTTGCATCATTCTAGCTAAAATTTCATTCGTAGTCCCAACAGGTTTACCTCTACCAGCCATAGTTCTAATTCAAAAAATCAAGTATACATATCAACAAACTATCATTTACACATGTACTCATATGCAATCAAGTCCAACAATTCACATAAATTCCTATTTGAAATATCAAATAGGTCACACTAGCAAACAATTAATTGACATTCTTGCAAATCAAGAATATAAGAGCGCACAACACAAACGATTATTCATGGCATCTAGTGTCCTGATCAAATCTCTGTATATATATAGACAAAGAGTGTGGTAAATCCTACCAATAATAAGGTATTCAAAAGGGACATTATACCCCTCTTGCAAGTTGTAATCCATTTTTCTTAGTTATTTTTGCTTAACTTGTTGCCAAATATCCATCATCGTTTATTTAGAGACGACAACTTCATCATTACATACACAACCACTCTAGAACCTTAAAGATGACAACCTCATCATTATATATATAATCACCATGAAACTTGATGATTTCAAACACGACAACATTGTTTTCATTGCCACACATTCCTTTAGGGATAAGTTGATGATGGTCGAGCAAGATATCAAAATCAAAAGCAACAATAGTGGCAAAGACAATAACAACTACAAAAAAGTGAAAAGCTTAAGACAAAACAAGCTACTCGAGTAACTCGAATATATGCCAACCTGCAACCCAACTAACCCGAAGCACAAATTGGTTGAGAATGGGCCAAAAATATTTCATTTAATTTTCCTTGGGCTGGCTATTTTGGACCCAAATCCAACCGAACTCGTTCAATATGTAGTCCTAGTAGTAGGTTGAGTTATTGATTCTCACAGCAACAATGGAGGCTCACGTGAAAATGGAGGAAGCAGAGATGATGATGATGATGTTAGGAACCCTAAATTTACAAATTTAATTTTACTTTTTATTTAAAATTTTAATTTAGTCATTATTAAGTTAGATATTCATTATATTGCAAATTTGGAATTCACCTGGTCAAAACTAACACCAGTAGTGCCAGGTAGGACAAAAACGTTGCTAACATTAAATGCCTACTTTAAAATGACTAACTTGGAACAAATTAAAAACATTCAAGACTTGTATTAAAAAAAAAAAAAAAAGTTACAAGACAAAGTTAAAACAAACACAAAAATTAAGGGACCAACCCTATAATTTAACCTAAAAATAATAAATAAATTTGTTACTAACTTGTATTTTTTTTTTTTAAACCTAATTCATATAACGTTTGTATTTTATAAACTCCATTTTTTTCAATTTTTAATTATCTTATTACAATTTTAGTTTACCTTTCTTGTGTTTAAAAATCCATGACACATCCTCTCATTATCATCAGATATTATTTCTTTATTATTATGTAAATAATCAAAAATTATAATAGAAATCTATTTCGTTAAATTAGTGATTTAGTTTCTTAACTTTATTTTTTAATTTTTTTCTTCAACATGTTTTTAGTTTAATTTAGTCTTTTAATTTTTATTATTGTTCCAAATTAGTTTACCTTTATACGAATTTTTAATTTAGTCTTTTAATTTTATTGTTCCATTTCTTCGTAATTTTGTTTGATTTGTTTCAATCGATGTTCTTTATACGAATCTTTCTTTCTTCTCAATTTCTCATTTCTTTATATAAGTCTATTTTCATATTTTAACTCATCTTTCTAAAAATTTTTAAACAATTCTTGTAATTCGTTTATGTTCTCTTTAACATAGATAACTTTAGGTAAATTTTTTAAGTTAGAAATAGTACTTTAAAGAAAATGTAGTACTGCCACCAATTATTGAACAAATTTAAAGTTTGTGTTCTAAGTTTTACTCATAACTCTAAGATATATATATATATATATATATATATATATATATATAAAAGTTCTTATCATGTTTTTTTAGGAAAAATATATTTTAAAATTTTGAATATAAATATAGATCTAATTTTTTTTCTAAAACTTTATTAGATATTCAAATTTGTTGATCACTAGCTCTCTAGTCATGCATCCACACTTACCGTGTTAGTATATACTCAGACTCCATTATTACAATGAGCTTTTTAATTTTTTTTTGTTACACCTTAAATTTTTACAAATGTTAGGGAGTTAAAATTATTATTTTAACTATGTAATAGGCAAATAGTATTAATATTAAGTGTCTACCCTTCCTTCTACTATAGTTGAATTATAGATTAATTCACAAAACTTTTGATAAATTTGTTACACTGTTCAAAAAAAATTTATTATTTTGTTTATTTTCTTCTAAATATACTTGATAAGTGATCTTTCTTAGTAATTTAGCATTAACATCAGTCACGCGCTCAATTTTGGGTCATGACAATTAATTCCTCTAAAATACTTGAAATTAATGTAACCAAATTTTATATTATTTTATTGATTAAAATACGATATTCAAGCATGAAGTGTAGTCAGCATTTTTATCAAATTCAAATTGATTGAGAAGTGTTTTTTAAATGCTAAGTTGCAACCAACCTATCAAAAAAAAAAAATTGCATGGTTTCATTAACCAAAATGTGATATTGAATTAGCTTGTCCTTCAAAACTTGTTTTGCTTCAACCATCAAATTTCTATATTTTAAAAATAATTAATCAATTAATTTATTTGAAAAATTTATCAAGCACATCCTCAATTAACAAGTAGAAACTTCCCAAAGGAGGATTTGATCTCAACGTACGTCTATCCGATTCAATATACTTTGGATTAGAACCCGTTAACTTACTATTCTAAAAAATTGTTTTTAGTTTTAAAATTGAAAAAACGAAAAAACTAGAGTGGACAGAATTTGCACCGTCTATACAAACCAAAAAGGTTCTTGATAAAAGTGTTTGGATCAGTATTATAAAACTCAGCTCAACCCTGTTGGTTCAACCGGTAAACCGATGTGCCAGTCATTTTATTGGTCCAAGCAAGTAGGTAGATTGGAAGTGCATTAGATTAGGTTTGATGGATGAAAGTCGACAGGTTAGACATTGTAATCAACTTTGTAAAATATCATTCATTTTCATCTCTTTTTACATTACTTTTCACTGACATTTTATTCTTAATTTAATGTGGCTTCACAAAATTACGTACTATAGAAAGGTTTGTAATTTTTCCCAGTTAAGGATAGTGTTGGAAAGAGAAAGGGGTATTACCCATCATATAATAATAATAATCATATTTAGGTTCCTAAGTTTCGTTGGTTTCCACTTTCCTCACAGTTCTGGAGTAGTCCTTAAGAGCAAGTTAATTGGTTCTTAATTGTTGTAAGTGGATAATACTCATAATGGCATATAAATAACAAGTGCACCCCGTCTTTATCAGCAAATAAGAAATGCTATGAATTGTAGTACGAATATAAATACAACTAGATGTAACATGCTGTTAGAAAATTAGTGATGGAACTAAGCATTATAACTTGCCTGGGCGTGTTCTTCCTGCAAATATGAATGATCGTAGCAACGTTGGAAGTTAGACTTATGTGTAATTCAGAATTTTAGGCCATATGGATGATAACCCATGTTGCCAATCATAAGACATTAGCAGTTAATGAAGCAGAAGCAAAGCTTTTATCACTTCGACATGTTCACAATGAACCCGAGTCTAATCGTTTTGAGGGAGTTCTCAGGCTTCCTGTTCATGTAATTTCTCAGATCTTTTCCATCCACAGGAAGTCTCATTTACGTCTGTGAGAATCTTCAAAATGATGTGCAAGTTTTTCAGATCACCCGCAATAGCCAAGAGCGGACTCAAGAATCACACTATGCTTTCATGAACAGAGTGGGAGACACCAAAACTTTGGACATCTTGCCATCACACAGTTTGATGTTGAGATGTCACATCTCTTTGGTAGATAAATCAAAGCAGGGCCACGACCTCATTTTTCGAAAAGCCATATCATCCATCTAGACAAGCACTGTCTATGAAGGTACTCAGGTAAATCTTCCTAGAAAAAGAAGGAATTGTAAAATCAGTGCAACAGTAATGTCCGTTCTTTCACCTATACCAACAACTACAAATTTTCCAATATTATATCTTAGAGATGTGTGTTCCAAATAGAAAATTCAAAATTGGCTGGACAGGGACAACAAAAACTAGAACTACAAAATTATACAACTAACCACAGATTGACTGGGAGGGGCAAATTCAGTTCAAAGATATTTGAACATAGGTAATCAAAAGATAGATATAATCCTCAAATTAAACAGTAACTAGTTTACAAATAATAATCAAGTATCTATAACAATTATACTAATTAAATTCAAAGCTAATCATATAAAAAAACTAGGTATGTCAAGACAAATTTGTTGATCTATATAGACTAGAAAGCATGGATATGACAGAAGACCTAAATATAGTACATGGACATAGTGATAACCATAGATGTCAATCCTGGATAGCAGCGATCCTCAAAACGCTACAGCAGTATAGCATTAAGCTGGAAAGGTTTCTAATGGATATAAAATATATACATATGCAGATAATTATGTATATAATGCTCAAAAAATATTCATAAATAAATCATACGAATAATTATCAACAAAAGACATAAAGAGAAGAAAGAAAGTAGAATTTCCAGGAGAACATAACAGAGGCAGTACTGTAGAATCATAAAAGAGAGAAGAAAGGAAGTGGATTTTGCCAGAGAAGTCATCAAAGATGAGTGACTCTGCTGGATTGGAGATGTTGCAAAGCAGAACAGAGACATAGATGAGACGAGGGTGCGTCGAACAGAGGAGGGGAGAAGAAAAAAAGTTGAGAAAAAGTGGGGTTAGAGATGAGAGGAGGGGGTGTTGAACAGAGAAAGGAAGAAGAAAAACGTGGGAAAAAGTGAGGTTAGGTCAGAAAACTGAGAAGACTATTTTACCCTGAAAAAACCTCAAGACTGTGTCACCTTAAGGGCAAAAAGGAAAAATCAGCTTATTTCTATAATATTAGAAGTCTTTTTCACCCTTAAAAAACCCAAAAAATTGCTTCGTTTTGAGGATAGAAAAGGGAAGTTGATATCTTTAATTGTGATGGCGCTAATGCACCACAAATACAGCTGTGATGGCCGTTGCTCCACTATGCCAAATCTATGGCAGCCAAAGGCTACTCTGCCACGCACTGCCACTATCACAAGCTATTGACAACTATTGTGATAACTAATAAGGTAAATTTTAAAAATCATAGGACGCAACATGGTTATGAATGTATAAATTAGTATAAAATCATCATAAAATGCTACAATATATATAATTATTGTGATTATTCCATCTGTATTGGTATAAAAGCATAAAAGCTTAAAAAGTTTATAAAATGCAGATAGGAGCATTCCTAGGGTTCATCAAGTATCCTACACAAGTATGACATGACTCACACGACACTGTTATTTTTTCTAAACGTTTGTGGTTCCTTAAATCAATGATTAAAAGTTAATCCAGCTATTCTGAAGATTTTGACAATCAAAACAAATATCAGGCGTGAACATTTTTAATTTCAATGTAGTCATGCAGTTCCATGTCCACAATCACTGGTTCAAATTCATTTACTAAGGTGAATCTTACTTTTATTTTCAGGTAATGTAAATTCCATTTTGTTGGGGCAGCTAAATGCAATTAAATGACAGACATCATCTATTGGCATTTGGCAGAGTTACGCCCAAAATCTAAGATTTTTTACTGCTGCAAATAAAGTTCTGTCTACTTAAGTCTTATCAGCTTAACAGTTTATTCAAAGATATAGAACTTACACTGCTCCATACTGAAGTGTACCCATCAGTTGAAAGCAACCAACTTCTAGTATTTGACAGAAAGACCAACTTCTTGCTTGCAGAATCAAAATGTAGCAGCTCCTCATCATCTTCATTGCAATCATAAGTTCTCCTTTTCTTCTTTCTGGCCCTCTTTTTCCTCCTATTTTTAACTCTAACGGAAGAACTACAATCAAAACTAGAACAATCTTCTTCTGATGGCCCATCTTCATCTAGTAATGCATGTTTATTAGAGTTGCGAAAACCAATTTGATTATTCGTAAAGACAGACTCCCAGGACTCAGGGGTCTGGCATTCTTGTGACAATCTATAGTAAAGAACCCAAGCCTGAAGTGACAGACATTTTATTGCTTCTATAGTTTTCTTCTTACTTCTGTTCTTGAAGATTGGGATCCAGCTGTTAGCATTGCCTGGGATTTCAGATATTTTTGACACAATTTCATTTATTTTTTCCTGTAGATCCCGATTCTCTTCATCACGTAAAAGGCGTAGAAGTTGCCTCCCCCGAGTAATGACAGCATTTAACAGCAGTAACTGGTCAATAGATCCATAAACACCACACTTAAAAAGTACAATCACAAACAAATGAGAGACATCATTGACATGGTGAAGTTCCATTCTTGGGCCAAGAGATTTACAAAGCGATTCCAGAAAGTAGCACAAGTCCTGGTCATCAAGAGTAATAAGAAGATGCCCACATAAAGAGGAGAAAGGCTGTCTCATGAAGAATTCGTTTATGACATCCCATACATCTTTTAAATCCTCTTTATACATTAAATCAACGAAATAAAGCACAAAGAATGACCTATCAATGTGAAAAATATCACCATCTTTCACCGATTCAGCAAACTCATCAGATGACCAAAATTCAGGAACATTTTCAAGAAAATTTTCTACTGTTCGCTGGATGTCCAAATCAAGAAAATAATGGGGCTTCGTAGCAACCACTGCTGGCGACTGCCCATGCTTTCCTTTCCACTCCAGCTCCTCCCAACAAATATCCCTATTTATAAATGCAAACTGGGATAGTGCCCTGAAACCTTTCCCTTGCTCTAATCCATCACCAGATGAAGAGTAAGAAAACCACGCCAATACACGCTTAGGATTACCTGCATCCCACCACGAGTTACACAATGAAAACTCAAAAAAAAAAAAAAAAAAAAAAAAAAAAAATCAATCAAACGAACACCTGCTCCACACCCATGGTTTGCTATCATCAAGATTTATAAGTAAAATCCAATTTAATAAATATCACATCACCATCCAATTACAAGTTCAACAAAGAAACCACTAAGCAGTTACAATAATGTAAAATCAACAAACATTACACTGTTTAAAACAAAGGGCAACAAGCTATCTCTATAAACAACCATCACTGCAGAAACAAAAATAAAAGTGGTCTACACAGTCATAATGCGACCGCAATTGTGCCAGCATAAGCCACATTCAATAACAATTTCCAGCAATTTCAGTAACTACAACTCCACCGTAACGGCAATTAAAACCTTGCAACCCCCACTCAAGAAATGAACAAAGAAAAAAGCAACAAAAAGGAACGCAGAGCTTGCACACAAAGCTAACCTTCAAAAAATTTCTCGAGCACGCGACTTCTGTTAGCCAAAACGGAGCCCAGTTCCTGGGGCCACGTGTCGAACATCAAATGAAGAAGCTGGGAGGCCAAAGCGGAACTATGCTTCAGCCCCTGAGTTCTGAGCAAATTCCGAAACAGGTCACGCTGTTCAAGAAACGAAACGGAGCTCAATCCCCCAACGGCGTTGCAGAGCCATAGACGTGCTTCGGCGCGACCCACCGTCGACCAAATAACGGTTTCCAAGTTGTTGAAAAGGGAGATTCTGAATCTGGTGGAGTCATCCTCTACGGCGTCGTTCCAATTGGGCTCCGACAAGAACAAGTCGATCATTTCTTCTTACAAACCCTAACGCGATGGAGGAAGAAAATCGGCTAAACGGCTCCCACCTTGCACGTCGTCGAATAACCAAAGCTATCAAGAAAGTGATTGTCTTTAATTTAAAAAAACAAAAAAAACCTTGTAAATTTAAATTTAGATTATTTTAATTCTTTTATTAGATTTGTGCATAAGAACTCTATATTTTTTCTTTTTTATTTTAATATTGTAAATTAAAAATTAAATTATCAATTTATAGTTAATTTCAAACTATTTTTCTGTATGAGATTTTTTGACTACATGGCAAAGAATTTCGTCAAAGCAACTAGCGAAGCATATTAATTATTAAATTTTTTTATTTCGTGAATCGCCACCAAAAGTGCGAAATAATAAAAATGAAACCCCTAGTCATACAATGAATGATTTTGCTATTTGATTGGTGAAATACTGGCCTAATTTCCTTACCAACAAAGCGAAAATAATAGGAAATCGACATGTAGCAAAAGAATTTTAAAGTTTCCCCCAAAAATCGTGAAAGTCACTATAGAAACAATAAAAAATATTCAAAATGAATGGCTCGGAATTTTTTAGGACACATGGCAACATCCTAGTTGTTTCGTGATTCTCCAGGTGAAAAGCTGTTTCGCCACACCTTTTGCGAAACCATTGACGTATTGACATGTGTCCGGCCATACTGTAACCGTCCCCCGCCCTTCTTCTTCTTCTCCGATTTTCATTTTGGCTTTTTCTTCCGTCGTGCTACATTTTTTTCCAAAATCACTCTATAAATTCTATTTGTTATATGTGTTTTGGCCTCAAAATTTTTAACTTTTGCACGTGTTCAGGTATAATTTATATATTGAAATGTTATTTTTAAATTGATAAAATCTGACAAATGATAAAAATTGTATTTTGATTGTTTTTAAATTTGAAGTAAGTGATTAAGTAGTCGGTGAGTAGTAAAATATTTGGCCTAAGGTTTATTTAAGATAGTAAAAAGAAATTATAATTTTAAATATTTTTATATTAATTTGTATATAGATTAACATATTTTTAATAAAATTAAGTTGTAGTTTAGTAAATTAAAATGTAATATTATAATTAGCTGTTAAAAAAATAGCTCAAATTTCATTTCATATAATATATGAGCATAATATTATTAATATGATGTATTTGATATTTGTTATATATTTGTAAAATTAAAAAAAATAGAAAATTAGGTAATTAAAATAATTCAATTATTATAATAATGATTTATATTTATTTTCATTGTAATAAAATAATTTTTACACCTATATATTAAATCCAGGATCAGAAGATCCATCACTTCTTCGTTTTCAAAGTATTCATGTTTTTGAACATATTTGGGATGAACATGATCACCTCAATGTTGAGGGTTAGGAAGAGTCAAAATATTCCTAGTGGATTAAAGGTGTTCCTGAAGAAATTATTCCATATCTTGAGTTAGCAGGTTTTATTGAAGTGACTAACTTGTCTCAGTTTCTCCTATATGTGGGGTTGATTACTGCATTAGTAGAAAGGTGGAGGCCTAAGACGCACACCTTTTACATGTCTCCTGGAGAGTGTACTATTACTCTTCATGATGTTGCTATCCTCTTAGGATTACGCATAGATGTGAGACCTATTATAGCACCCACTAGAAGTGATTGGGCTCAGATTGTTGAAGACAGCCTAGGTATCAGACTAGGATCAGATGTTTTCGTAAGGAGTTTCGTTAAGATGAGTTGGTTGGACAAGCACTTTACTCATATTGCCATGCATAATCAGAATCCACTGCATGTTACTCGATTTTCTAGGACATATATATTGAGGCTTATTAGAGGGTTTATGCTTCCTGATCGGTCAAACAGTAAGGTATCTGTGAGGTACTTGCCTTTGCTTGAAGATTTCGAGTTGACCGATCAATATAGTTGGGGTTCTATAATTCTAGGTTATTTGTACCGAGAGCTATGCATGGCCACCAATATTGATCGTGTTGCTATTGGAGGACTTGATGCATTGATTGTAATGTGGGCTTGGGATAGATTTCCCCAGATAGCACCAAGCAATCCCCCCATACACATCTGTATCTTCCCTATAGTGTTAGGTAAGTAATGTTACTATTTTTCTACGTATTTTTCACTTTATATGGAGAACATTGTTTGACTGTATAGTTTGGATGGTCTATATTACTTGCAGATGGTTATCCTAGGGTTTAATAAAGGGGAAGAAAGATGGCCAGTACTATAGCTATATTTTTTTATCGTTTAGAACGTGATGAGGTATTATAACATACTTTTATATTAAGTTTACTTATTTAAATTACTTGTATTAAATTACTTGTTATTAATTGTAATTTTATGTCCTAATACAGATTGTATGGGTGCCATATAATATGGAACTCATCAACATGCTTCCACCTATCTGTAGAGACGGTATGGACTTATGGAGGGCGATGGTGCCACTGATATGTTTTCAAGTATGTGAGTGGCATCAATCTGATCGAGAATGCGTCAGTTTGGTATGGTTCAGCACATACCAAAGGCTTCTTACCAGCCTGACCAGCTACATGACCTTACCCTTAAGTAAAAGACTGGAGAAGATTGGTCAAGGAAGTTTAGTGTTATGTTAGAAATTTAGGAGAGTAGACGACTTTGGGTGATAACTATTAAGCCTCAGTATGGTTTACTGAGCTCAAATTCAAAATACATGCGATGGTATGTTAGTCACACTCGTCGTTGAATGACCTAGGATGCAGGTTTATCAACTTTATCAGTATGTATGTTGATATTTGATTTTACTCTGTTCACTATTATTATTTTTTATATACAAAGTTACACTAATGGTTACACTACTTAAGCACTGATGGATAGGATTACTTTACCTTTCATGAATTAAAGGAAGTATGAGACTCTCCTATCACTGAAGAAGGAGTAAGATCGAACATTAGAGCTTGTTTCATCTTCAGATCCTCCTATACAGAGTGGTAATCCCATCGATCCAAACCTACACATGGACCAACCGCGACAACGAAGAGAAAAAGGGGTTTAGGACGTCGACGAAGACAAGTGCAGGCAGTAGAGTGGGCTGTCCTGACTATACTAAAGCGACCTGATGGTGTCTTTCTTATACCATCACAGTTTCCTTTTCAGGCATCTCATTTGCTTATTGACCCCACTTATTTCCATTCATCACAGGGTACCCACCAGCCATCACAACCCCTATCTTCACCATTTACAGGATCAGAAGAATACAGCCCACGACCTGATTTTATGACACCTCCTCACAAGCACCAAACCCTATTGACTCCAGGTGCCCCATACGCCCAAGGTGAATCTATACCATCACCAAATACGACCTATTGAGTCAGGTATTAATCTTAATACTGAGTTTGGTGAGACTGTTGCATTCGGAGAGGTTCGTCGAAACCCCCATCGAGGAGCTCGAGATAGACAAAGGTTGTGCATCTTGACTCTAGAAGATCACAATCATCAGGCACATAGAGGGGAGCAGAAATGACAAAGTTTATATGTAGTATTTTATTTTAGACTGCATATTAGATGTTCATGACTTGTATGGTTTTTCTAGTGTTTACTTAATTCCCTATTGCATTGATATGGCGTTTATAGATTCATCGCATATTACTCATAATTGGGATAAACAACATTAAAACGTTCCAAACGAATACATTAAATATGCATTTAAAAAAAATATTTGTTAACCAACATTGTTTTGTTGAGAACAATGGCGTCGATTATGACCTACTTCGTTACATTTGGAACACCTTTGTCTGGTTTATGACTCAACCCAGTCCATTTCATTCTTAATACGAGTTGACTTTGGTCAATCCTTACCTCTTGCTCTTTCGACATCAGGCACCAACTTCCATTCACTATTTGTAAGGATGTTGCATTCATTTCCAAGAGGGAACCAATGTGGGGAGTACGCATTTATGACATACTGAATTGAATACACTGTGTCAACATATTGCCAAAAATCAATACTCACAGCTATACAAGCCGCTATGACATGTGAACAAGGAATTCGATAAGATTGAAATCTCTCACATTCGCAAAATCTCTTATCCAATATAACTGTCCATTTGTGTCCACCTTTTTATGTTATTGGATCAAATGCTTCTTCAACCTCAGAACTTTTTCTTTGTATGTCATACTGACGAACTTGGTGTGATGAAGCTTTTTGTTGATTTGTTTGAATTTGTAACATGACTTTACGACAAAATATACTTCCATTGTGAAGGTCAGACATAGCCTATTTTCCATGCTTCACAAAATATTCAACCAATTGTCTATACGTGACCTTAACGAGTACAGTTATAGGCAGGTTTCTAGCACCTTTCAATACCTTATTCACTACTTCTGAAAGATTTGTGGTCATGTGTCCATAACGTCGTCCTTCGTCATCATAAGATAATGCCTATTTCTCTTTTGATATGTAGTCAATCTACCTTTGTATATCTTCAGATTCATTACGAAATCTAGTTAACTTTTGCTTAAATATGACATTCGAAGGTGCATAACCTACATATACAACATTCAGAACATTAAAATAATGCACGTAAGAATTCATAAATTATACGAATGCAATATGACGAATGCAATATAAATTATACGCTTTTGGAGGTTGCCACCCAATGTGTGGATTTGACATAGCCCTTTTTATACTTTGATGCCTATCTGATATCAAACAAACTCTCGATCTATCAATAACATGCAAACAAATCAATACCAAAAACTATTTTCATGCTGACAATATTTCTCCTTCAACAATTGCAAAAGCTATTGGAAGGACACAATTGTTTCCATCTTGAGTTGTTACAATAATATGACGATACTTACCATATAAGAACGTCCCATCCACTTGTAATATAGGTTTGCAAAATTTAAAAGCTTCATGACATTGTTTGAATTACAAGAATAACCGTTCAAAGACTCTAAACCTATTATCCACTTGATGACCAACCACATACTATTTTGTTTTAATTTTATAAACGTGGCAAGATAGCGTGTGATTCATCCCAATCACCAAATACTTTAACAGTGACTTTTTGCTTCGTCTTCCAAGCTTTTTTATATGAAATTTTGTATCCAAACTAAGAACAAA